AATTCTCAAGACCCACTCAATTATCGGGGAAGGGTATATTGCAGGCGGTCTGAGCTTGTATTAGCAGAGCTCTAGTAGCTGTTGTTGTTAGTTTAGTTGCTCTGTTCTGTTGCTGCATATTATGTTCGTTGTTGTTTTTTTTTCACATGCTTCCCTTATTGATTTTTCTTTTTGCGTTGGCAAAGCGCACAAAGAGGCAAAAAAGAGGAAGCAAAAGGAAAAGCAAAACAAAAGAAAATGTTTTTTAATTGCATTATGCAGGGCGCATTGAAATCACAGGCATTTCCCTGCAAAGGCAGTGGCGAGGGGCGAGGGGCGACAAGTTAATTTCATTTGCTGCGTCGGACAGGATGCATGTGGGCAACTGGATCAGACGGCGGGGCGGAGGGCGGAGGATTGACTTTGTGGTTGGCATTGTGGACTTAATAGTTCGAACTTTGATTTGTACGCAGCGAGAGAGAAAGAGAGAGAGAGAGAGGGTGAGAGAGATTGAGAGAGAAAGGAACCTAATGGCTTTCCACATTTCCGTTCATTTTCATTTGTATTGTTTCAGGCCTTTACCTGAGTGCGTGTGTGTGAGAGAGACAGAAATTAGTTCAAGGATTTGCCAACGTTTTTGGGATATAATATAATTGCCTTTTATTGCACGCACAATAGCAAAGCCGGCTCTAAGGAAAGCCAGTGCCGAGCAGCTTCCCCCCAAGCCCCGCATCGTTAGCTATGCGGAAAGTAACAGAGTAGCCGAGAGTGTCGGCCAGAAGATACCCTGCAGCTCTCATCATCAAAAGTGCTTATGGCGTATGGATTGGAGGATGCCTCCTTCCCTCCCCTTTAACATATCCTTTAAACGGATTGCCATTTTTATCTGCTCCTTTACTCGCCGGTTCATAAATCAGCTCATCTTTCTGCGTGAGCATCATCAATTTGGAGCGCTTAAGGGTGCTCGCAGATGACGATGGCCAGGTGGCAACGGGGGAAAGCCCAAGCCCAAGCCCGCCCGCAGCTCCAGCTTAACCACACGAAACATAAATCGTTGACGCGGCACGTGGCCTGTTCTTATCGCGGCTATCAGTGCAGCAGCTGGCAACAGGCAGCGTCTCAAGGAACTATTAACAAATGGAAGGCCCATAAACTAAGGGCTCGGACAGTTCAATTAACTTGCAGCGCGGCGGGATTTATGCGGACTGCGGAATGCGAAACTACTTCAAGGATTTGCCCGAAAAATGCTAATCATCTGCTCATTAAATGCGCATCAGGCCGCGCTGCTCGTTCCAGCTCGTGTTAATGGCAAGACACCAGCCACGCCCACTCCAAGCCGAGGCCCTTGGCCCGGGTCACAGCTGTTGAAAGCTGAGCAAAAATTTGGCACACAGCAAATGTGGGCGGGGCGGGGAAAGCGGCGAAGGCAGGCGGAAGGACAACTGGGGGACGTTCGTTGGGCTCTGCCCTTGGCTGTGCGGGCACAGTGAGCCCTCGCCCTGTGCGAATATCTAAACTGACTGTGAAATGTGTCTCAGCCCGCCTCCTCCTCCCCCTTTTCCTCCATCCCAGGCGTTCAGCTAGCAAAAGATACGGATACATAACTGAAAGGCGGCTGCTGTCAAATCATCTGTTTTAAATCGATTTTCCTTTTGTTTGTTGTTGTTTCTCCGGGCTACAGTGTGCCTGTGTGTATGTGTGTGTCTCTGTGTGTGTGTGTATGCATTATGGGCGTTCTCTTTTTCCTTGATTTTATGAGTGAGAAAGTGGAAACTCGACCGAGCAGAACTTTTCACTGCAAAACTTTTGTTTGCCTGATGAATGCAACGCGTTCAAGAATTTTTCCTTTAGAAAATAAAAACTCAAGTCTGATTAGCCCGAAAGGCGACGGCCATAGAAAAAAAATGGGACAAAAGCAGCTGAAAGCCGCGAAAAGAAGCGCTCGGCAATAATAAAGAAAATTGAGTATAATAATGCGCAAAAAGGACATAACATTGAAAAACGGCAAAGGAGGATTAAGCAGAGAAATGCGAACATCAATAAAGATCTTAAGAGGAATCTGAACCAGATTCATAGTTCCAAGACTTGCTTGGACTCTAATAAAGGCAGTTGGGCAAATTGAGACCTTGGGTAGCTTTTCCACTAAAGATTTTTAGGCAACATTTGAAATCGAGCATATACATATACCGTTAAGCTGGCATCAAATCAAATCAAGCGATTTCAACGACTTCGCGTCGTCTAATTTAATTGACCCCAAAAACCAAAAAGCAGCGCCGAAAATTGCCTCAAATTTGTAAGCCACAAAAATCGGCGGCAGCAGCAACAGAAGAAACAAAATCTGAACAACAAATTTAAGTCCAAATCGCAGATCTGCGACTGCCGACAAATTTTGCTCATTAAATAAATCAAAATTGCTGTTTTTGCCATAAAAGTCAAAGTTGTATTTTATTTTCTTTTTGTCTTTGCAATTTAAATAATCAATTTATGCAAATTTGGTGAAATGATCAACAAAAATAATGTCAATTTGTGGGCCAAGCAAATGTGGCCCAAGAGTGGCTGTCAAACTGTGACAAACGCTTGACGTGAACTTCAAGCTGTCTTTGACAAATATGAACTATATGTTTATTATCTGATTCGAGCTGATCAAATCTGACTCGCAGCTGTACGTGATGTGAAAAACAGACGAAAATTCCTCAACGAGGCTGCGACGAGCGTTACGTGACCCGCGCACATGTGTACAAAATAGTTAATTGGCGTTTTCAAATCTGATAAAAAATATAAATAAATAAAAAACTAAAAATAACTCATTTAAAAAGTCAAATATTACGAGCAAACACGCAAGATTTTCAATATCGCAGTTATGCAAGCCAACAAGCGGGGGCGGAGCGGGTGACGGGGTTCGGTTGAGGCCAAAACATTTCATAACAAAGATCAAAAACTATTTATAATTCGTTCGAACTGAGCCCAAAATCGCAGCCGTCCACATTACCGAGATTTGACTTTACTGTCAATTCGAGTAACTTTTATTTTTCGCTATCAACTAAAAGCAAAGATAAGAACAGCTTCTATCGCAATCTTTTTGTTTTTCTGCCGGCGCCATAAAATCACAAGCGAAGGTCACAACTGAAGAGCTGTAAAAAGTTGTTATAGTGTGCGATAAGGCCGAAATTTTGAAAAGCATGAATGATCAGCACTGGCCTAATATTAATAAAGGAAACACATTTAGTTTCCTGCAAAGTGTTCCCAATTCTGTTAAAGTATACGGACATATTTAAATAAAAGAAAACAAAATCACAAGAAATTTCAGAAAGCATGAATGATCAGTGGCTTAATATAAATAGTGGGAACACATTTGGTTTCCAGATCTGCACAGCTATTTTGCAAAGTGTTCCCAATTCTGTTAGAGTATATGGACATATTTAAACAAAAGAAAACAAAATCAAAAGCGAAGGTCACAACTGAAGAGCTATAAAATGTTGTTGTAGCGTGTATGGTAGAGCATGTACCCCAAATGGTAGAGCATGACTGATCAGTGGCTTTATAACGGGAATACATTATTATAAACTGTTCCCAATTCGGTTGCCTCACATGTTATTCGTTCAAATATATGGCATATTTTATATGATTTTAGGCTCTGCTGGAATACTGACCTTTTGCTTAGTTGTTGTTGCTGCTTTTTGTTGTTCTCGTTTGTTTTTTTTTTTGCACAGATTGTTTACTTTTTGCTTTGTGATGCTCTTCGTCGTGTTGTTATTGTTTTTGTTGTTGCTCTTTTTATCGGCATTCAGTAGTAGATTTTCGTCAAGTTTTCGTTCTCGCCTGGTTGCTTTTCTGGTATTTTTGGACCAAAAGGACGAAAAAGTTGCGTACTCTCGCGCTCTCTCTCTCTTTCGCTCTCTCGCTCGCTGGGCCGCGCACACTCAGCAAATTGATTTTCACTTTTGGCCAAGACTGTCAAAAAAAAAAAAAGACAACACACACAGACACAAATACACTCGCAACGCAGGAATTTTCACTTGTGCCACTTTTTTCGCTTGTTTTGTTTTGCTATTATTGTCGTTGTCGTTGTAGTTGTTGTTGTTGTTGTTTTTGTTGTTGTTGGCTGCTGCTGCAGGGGAACAGGTTTGCTTTGGCTATACAAATACAAATTCTTCGCCTGGGCCGAAACCAAATCGCAGCAGCAACGGAGCCGGCAGCGGCAACAACAAATTCCAACTGCCTTTTCCTGCTGCCTTTTCTGCCTTGGACGCAAACACACAGAAACACAAACGGACACACACGTACGCACACGCACACACTCACTCACACGCAGAGAGCAACCAAAATTCTTTCGCTGCCTTTGGATTTGCCTTCCTTTGCTTTGCTCTTGCTTTTGGTTTTGGTTTTGGTTTTCTTGTTGTTGTTTTTGATGCTGCAGAGGCGAACCGGTTTTTGTTTTTGCACTTCACTTTGTATTTGGCTTTGGCTGCTGCTGCTGCTGCTGCATTTGACAACAATTCAAAAATTGATTAAAATTAATTCGCATTGCAATAAATGCGATTCAGTTGCACTCGGCGGTTTTATTTTCTTTATGGTTGGCATGCGTATGCACCGTTATTCCGTTTTAGATTTGCTTCCCTTTTGCGCTCCCACACGAAAACACTTTTTTTTCTATTGCCGTTTCACTCGCACTCGATTTTTAGCCGCTTACATAGCCGCGACACGCAGATACCAACCGTCCCAAGTCGAAGTTGTTTGCAGACTGAAACTTGCTCTTATATCGGCGGTTCAAAGTGCCACTGCTATACTCAGAATGGCATGACTTAACAGCATTAACAGCGTCACGTCGCTCTCTTAGACGCGCGCTCTATTTATTATTAACAGTGGCGGAGCGAACGTCAGTTAACATTTCTGCTAATCGGCTGTGGACTCTGAATGTCGTCGTTATATTTCAAATCTTTTTTTTTTGTCTTCAACACATTAAAATATATTGTGCTTTATACAATTTATTAAATACATTTATAAATGTGTTAAGCTAGCTTGCATTTTATATATACAAAGGCACATTTACGAGGTGCCCGTTAAATATATTTTAATAACTACATTTCAATGAATTGATATCAAAATATGTTTTTTCTTTTTATAAATGTGTCTTACAATAAATTAAACAATATTATAATTTAAAAAACAGTATTTACTGTTGTCGAGCAGTTTTATGAATTTTACTTATTATTTATTTACAAACAGTCTGTAAAATAAATTGTCGAATAAAACTTTGAATTTGCCACTTTGAAAATGGAAAATAATTTTCTTTCGCTTTAATTCTAATTATTGAAATATATTCTATGCCACTTTCGCTTCAAAAAATATATTCTCTTTAGTATTGCTTTACCCATACTCTACCACAATTGAAGGCTTCGCCCGAACCCAGCATTTGTGTCAAGATGATATCCGCCTGGATTGAAGCAACACCAAGTACAGTGAAAACTCCCTTGTGCGCACCTGTACTACATTTGGCCAATTTTTACACTTCGAATCTTTTATCTTATCTTCTAGGTTTGTAAATGAAAAATAAAAAAAAACCTGAACATCTTGAAGCAAAACTCGCTAATGATTTTTATAGAAAAGATTTTTAAAAACAAGTTTAGACTCATCCATTATCATTAAATTATTTTTTTGGGTTAAAATTCTTTTAATTGCAGCTAATTTTCTAGTACTTTGCTTAGCAACTTTTATCAGCGTGAGTAGACTTATCCTTAGCACACATATTAAAATGTTGTTGAAGATTTTCAACAAGACTTTGCCCTAGGCGTCCATACTAGGCAGCTTTCACTGTACTTGTCGGCATTACAAAACCTTTTCTCACCCATAGACTGAATATATTTCATTGCCCTGCACTGTGATACTTCCGGGATTCTTCTAAATGCATCTACGCAAATGCCGGAAGCCGCTGATTACGGAGAACTGAAAGGAAGATTCGATTAGAAAGAAGATTTCTAAGGGTTACAAATTGCATGGCGCATTCAAAGTAACCTCTGCAAGAGTATATACCCAAGGGTATATATCCAAGCAGTTGGTTCTTACATGAGAGGATCTTTTGCAACACCCGCTGGGTGGGTGGGTCATCGTGTGGCTTTCGCTGTTTCTGAGTGCGTGCGGGTGTGTTAGAGCTCCTGCGTCGCCGCTTCCACCGGCAAAAATTCGACTGGGATCAGGCGAAAGGCTTCGCCCTCGAGTGTTACATTGCAGTAAACCTCACCCGGCTGGGGCCTCGACTGCGGGCTTAGGGGCGTCACCAATTGCAGCACGGTCACCGGACCCTCGAGAACCAGTGGCGCCTCTTTCTGTTGTGACTGTGGCGTGCTCTTTGGCTCTTCCGTTGGCTCTTTCATTTGCTCCGTCGGTGACGACTTCATTTGCTTTTCCGCCGGCGTTTCAAAGTCCTCGTAGGCAAGTACAGTTAGATCATGGTTGGAAATATCCTCCGTCGGATGCTTGTTGCCCATGTGCCGCTTCAGATGAGCCCGCGTGGCGGCCGCATAGGCGCAACAGGGACATGGAAATCTCTTCGAGCGCCAGTGCTCCTTGCCGTGCGTCTTCTCGTGGCGCTGCAGGTTGTACAGTCGTTTGCTGGAATACGAGCACTTCGGCACGGTGCAACGAAATACAATTGCGTACTTTTTCTTCTTAACGTCCTCCATGATTTAATTGTAATTTACTGCAGTAAAATCTGCTTTAAATGCAATATTCGCGTAAATTAGTTTTTATTATGATGCGCAGCCGATAATGTTATCCGATAAGCTGTGGCGGCCGGCCGATATATTCTCCAAGCAACATTGCGACAGGCGCCACTATAAAATATGACCATTTTCTACCATTAAAGATTTTAATGATTCCAATTTTGTCATTCTTCCATTAAAAATTTTAATGATTCCAATTTTGTCATTAATTTAAATGGAAAATGTCAATTATGTTAGGCTTTATTTCATTCTCCATCATATTGTAATATATATTTTAATGATAACTTGCAGTTTTTGGCATATTGCTACGCTAAAAAAATACCGAATCACACCATACGCGCTTACATTTAACTTTGTAGTCTGTTAAAGTCTCTTGAGTGTTATGCTCTCTCTCTACTCTTAGCTATTCTGTTTATGCTAACTTCTGTTACGCTGTTAAATACCATTGCTGGAGTCTGAGTAGCTGTTAACACATTTGTTACTACAACCGGCCGCTGTTATTAGCTCTTATATCCTGTTAGTCATCAATAAAATTCTAGAAATCAGATTTTCTCTTTTCTGCAGCGGGCACCTGCTATGTTGATAACAGTCCGGCAAAGTAAATAACTGTTAAGCTTGCCTTCGCCGCGCTTTTATTGGTCAGCGTCTCATTGAGCTAAAACATCAAAGTGGACACAACACCCAACACCACCCCCTTCGCCCTTTTTCCACATCTGACCAACAGGCGCCCTGCTACAACAAGTTCTGGGTCACTTGGGCACACTTTTCCATTACCTTTAAGGTTTTCCCCAGCAGCTGTTGTTTGAAGGCGAAGGGGGGATGGGGGGCTACTTTGAATTGGTTTTTATTGTTGCGGCGACAAAAAAACACAATTGGCAACATTTGTTGCCGACCATTTGACACATTTGCCACAAATACGGGCCCGTTGTTGTTGTTGTTGCTCTTCACATATGTACATATTTCTTGGGGCGCCAAAATTACCGTTATTACTGTCGTTTGAATTTTCTACTTTTTTTCAGCTTTTAAGCAAGCAAATTAAACTAATTTAATCTGAATAAAAGACAAAATTTTTAGACTTAATGTTCAATTAAAGTAATAAAAACGGAAAGAAAATATTTAAACATTTTTTAAATATATTTATTTTTATTTATTAAAGTTTATTTTGCTAGTTCAAAGATAAATTGATGTATAGAAAATTATTTTGTTCGATTCGATTCTCAAATCATGATTTTTTAAATTTCTAACATTTACCTGCTTTTGGGCCAAATCTCATTTTTATGTAAATCATTTTTGGTTTGGCAGGAAATGCAATTTCTGCCATAAACGTGAGCCACAAGCTGAACCCAGGGGTTCAAGGGGTCAAACGCAAGCGGGGCGAACAAATGGACACGAAATACCTATGAAAATGTGCAACGCGGCATGCAATGAGTTTTATTAGCCCCCAGCCCCACCCCTCCTGCCTCCTCACCCCTCCTTCTTCATCATCCGCAACCCCCCTCATCTTCTTTCTGCAGAGCTCTGCAATTTTGCACACATGAATTTGCCACGCAAAGCTTTCAAATTTCACGCCCTATTAGATCACATAGCCGCAGTGGGAAGGGGCTGGGGGTTGGCGGGTGGCGGGGTTAATTACCCCCAAACCCCTATTCACCCTATACGCCAGTCAGGTTCATTGACCGTGCAATTATCAGCGCCTGCTCCTGATTAGAGCCCAAAGGCTCTTTTTGGCCGTCAAATGCACATTGTGATTCGATTGCAACTCAATTCATCGGCCTTGGACTGGAATGCAGCAAGAGGAAGCTTTCAGTCCACTTCCGTTTCCGGCTGGCCAAGCCAAATCTATGATGCGAATTATGCACAATTATGGGGGAGTTCTATGAAGGAATAATAAATGCTCCAGATATACCCAACCAATTGCCCGATGGAGGAACTTATAGTTCCCCTATAGTGGACCGATCCGTGCAATCCATGAAACAGTCTATGAATGCAGGCAATGAATGCTGATCAAGAACATATAACATATATATATATAGTATATAGGCACCTGGCAAAGTATTGTACATATTTTAGACCCGGACTCTACGCTAAGATGAAGGCCACTTTGAGGTTTACTTCCCTAAAATGGAGTCCATCTCCTCAACGCATACCCTACATTTTGTACTGAATCTGCTTTGCAGATTTATGAATAGTCTGAATTGAGGTAATAAACAAAAATGTCTGCGAATGGGTCAAAAGGCGCCGACGACGCGTGTTGTGAGCTTGTACAATAAGTTGTTGTTGTTGTTGTTGTTGTTGTTATTGTTGTTGTTGTTGCTGTTGTTGTTGCTAATCTGGTTGTTAAACAAGCAAACAAAATGTGGCCAAGTGGCCGAAGCGCCCATAAAGTAAACGGCACAAGACATCAGCTCCGTCGCCAGACGATCAGCTGAGGGCGGGGGGACAATTGAAGGAAGAGGGAGCGGGGCGGGGTGTGGGGGAGGGGTAGGGGCTTGGCAACCCAGTGAAGTGGAAGTGAGCTGCGTTTCGTTTTTCAGAGAAGACGCGTCTCGGGAAAAAGGTTGAAATTAGCAGAACGCAGCTGAGACGGAGATGAAGACGCAGAAGGGGACGCGGAGACGAAGAAGGCAGATCTTGTTTATTTTTGTTGTTTTTATTTGTTGTTCCAAGGAAAATGCCTCCGCTTGCGGCTAGTCCAACTATTGTTGTTGGTGTTGGTGTTGTTGTTGTTGTTGGGGCAGCCTGGTGCTATCGTCTTTGTGAAATCAGCCACGTGAGGCAAGCGGCGCACTGTGTGCAAATGCTAGAAAAGCTTTTAACAATCTGCCCATCAATTTGTTACTACTGATTGAATGATTGACTGATTGATTTTTAAATAATAAATCTGATTGAATGATTGATGAACAAAGCCAAAGACAAGCCTTAATGGTTAGGAAGCCTTTAACTCTGTTGATTACGCTCATTGATGACGCTGATTGAATGATTGAAAGATGGATGCACAACGCACAGGCCAAGCCATTATAGCTAGAATGCCGCTGCCGATGATTGACTGAACGTAATGAAGGGGATTGAAGCTGATTAAATGATTGACTGATTGATGAACATGTTTTAAAGCGAAGACGCAATAGCTGGGCAGGCCAATTTGTTACATTCTTTGTTTTTGTCTCTGCTGTTTGATTGATTGATTGATGATCAACCTAATGTTTAGAGTGATAAAGCTGATTGAATGATTGATGAACAACACTTAGCACAAGCCCTAACAGCTAGAAAGCCACATTTTTGTACATAAGTTGCCTTAGTGATTGACTGATTGATGATCGACTTAATGACTAAGATGACAGTGCTGATGGAATGATTGACTGACTGATGAACAGCGCTTAACGCAATCCATAACGGCGAGCAAGTTGAATTTTGTATAGAAGTCGCCTTTTTGATGAAAAAGAAGGATGAGAAGTTGGTTATACCATAATTTTCTAATACTTAATTATGAGCTAATTGGCCAATCGTGTTTTTTTTCTCGTAATATCTTCTAGTTTTGCCCACTGTGAGAGGGCATATGTAAATACAAATTTGATGCTAGGTTGTGGCAACAACAGCAACAACCAACTGGCAACGCGCTCTAACTAGATGCAACTGACAATGTTTTTGCCGTCATCTTCTTCTTCTCGCTCTTGCTTGTTGTTGTCGGGTCGATGCTTATCCGAGCATGTAAGCAGCCTCTTAGCCGGCTCCACGGCACTAACAATACACCTCACAGTTTGGCAGTCACTGTTAAGCTCATTATGCGATTTATGGACCGGCAGCTGCAGCCAGACATTGCGTGAGTGTGTGTGTGTGTGTGTATACATGCCACACCCTCAGACCCCCTCCGCCCACCCGGTCGGCAAGCACTCGTCAGCTTTCATAATGTCCAGTCCGATAGAGCAAAAGTAGCAGACGAACAGACAATAAATAACAATCAGGTAGCTGCCAGTGGGTGGAATGTGCGCCAAAGGGGCAAGGGGGCAAGGGGCAAAGGGGGGAGGGGGAGCAGTGCTTGGTGCCACAAAAGGCGCAGCTGCGGGCCAGCGAAATGGAGCCTACAAGTGGCAACGGGGGCCACCCGCGTCATCGTGAGGAAACATTTTTGCAAAAGTTTATGATGTGTTTGGGAATTGGGAATGGGGCTTGGAATTGGGATTGGGATTGACCATAGCGCAGCCAAGCCGAGAAGATTGCGGCGACGCAGTGAAAGTCGAAATTGCGAATGCTCCATCGGAGATGCACACAGTCAGAGATGGGCGCGTGTCGCACGTGCGAGTGGCACGGCACGACACGAGCACGAGCAAAAATTTCAAAAATATATAAAAACAAGTTCTATTTATTTTAACTTTAATGCTTGTTATTTATAGCATTTCTTCGTGTCAGGCTCGTGTCACGACACGCTCACAGCTCACAGCTAACAGCTCTAGTGTGATGGCTGTCAAACTGTAAGGCATCCACAGCCCGGCTCACGGCTCACTAACCTCGTGATTTACTATATTAACGAGTCGGGCCGGGCCAGAAACTTAAGACAGACCCAAAGCTGGGCCAGACAAACCGGCTGCAAATGGCAGTGAGTGACGGGCCGGAGGCGGCGGGCGGGGGCGTGGCATGCGTTTTAACATAATGAAAATGTTTGGCAGCAGCAGCGGCGGCAGAAGAAGAAGCAGAAGAAAAAAACAACATTTGCATGAAAATGCATTTGCATTTTCTTTTTGCTCAACTGCAGGAAAGTGAAAATTGCATAAATAAAAGCCAAAGTATCAGTTAAAAAACAACAACAACAACAACAAAAATGATATCGAAGCAGGTCGCCGCCAAATGAGCGAAAGTGAGCGCCAAAGGGGAGTGGGTAAGGGGGGCTGGGGGCAGGGCTCGACTTGTGGGCAGACGAAAACAGAATCAAGAAATCTGAACAGGAAATGCTGCAGTATTTAGCAATTGGCAGCGCCTGTCAAACTGTGATGCATGACAAATGGCAAAAGTAAATTTGGGGATTAAACGAAACGTGAAGAGTGATTG